AGAGAGAGAGAGAGTGTTAGTGATAATGTGTGATGGTTCTCTGCTTTCTCTCTGTTCTCAGGCTGATTCTGTGAACAGTGACTCCAGAGCTGCAGGTGAGAGTCAAATCACTTCATCATCTCTCTGCACTTCCTGTTTACGGTGAACATCGTGACCTCAAACGCTCTTCGTGTTTCTCTTTCAGACAAACCAGACGTGGTGAAGAAGCCCTGGGAGAAACCGTCGTCTGTGTCACGGTAAAAACAGATCTCTGACGCTTCAATAAACCTGCTGTGTGATTCAGACGGGGGTGTTTGACTGTTACATTTATATTTTCAGTTTTCATTTTCATTTGAGTTATTTGGTTATGTGCTTTTGTCATTTGTATTATTTGTTTATTCTAAATAGGTTTACTTTATTTTTTATTTCAGTTTTAATTTGATTTCAGCCATCAATTGTAGTACTTAACCTTTTTTAGTTAATTGTTTATCTAATATTTGTTTCATTTCAGCTATCTTTCATTTAACAATGTTTTAATAGTTTTAGTTAACAATAACAATACTGGTTACAGAATTTGTATTTGTTTTTCAAAAAATAGTATTTGTTTTTGTTTTATAAAAAATATTTCTTAATTCAGTTTGTTTCATTTCAGTTTTAATTTTAGTTTTATTCAATTTAGTATTTTTAGTGCTTAAACTTATTTCAGTTAGTTGCCAATGCGATATTTTAAAATTTTATTTAAAAAATGTTTTATTTTTAGTATTTATTTTATTTGATTTCAGCTTGATTTCAGTTAACAAAAATGTTTTTAATAGTTTTGTTGAACTTTCTTCTCCTGCGTCATATTCTTCATGTGATTAGTTTGAGCGGCGCCCTCTACTGTACAGACGAGAATTTACATTTCCTTCAGCCTGAGGCGCATTCACTTCACTTTTGGTGTGAAAGGGCTTTACATTTGTAAAAGAAGAACTTTTTATATTAAAAATAAACAAGCAAGCCCCGCCCAGATTTAAAAAGTAACACAAAAGTAACGTAACGCATCACTTTCCATAAAAAGTAACTAAGTAACAAAATTACTTTTTTATGGAGTAATGCAACATTGTAATGCATTACTTTCAAAAGTAACTTCCCCCAACACTGAAAACAGCCCTGTCTGACCGCAGGACATCCTGGAGGAGATGCGCAAGGAGCTGCAGAAGGTGAAGGACGAGATCATCAGCGGTCAGTGGGGTTCCTCCGCTCTTCTTCACAGAAATACAGTGATGTGATCCCGCTCTGACCTGCTGTGATTCCTGTGTTTCCTCCACAGCTCTGCTGGAGGAGCTGCAGAAGATCAATGCGGCGTAGCTGCGCATCAGGAAGATCTGCGCAAACGTCTGCGCAGAGCCACGAACACAAGACGCTTCCCTCTCACGCTTCAAGATGCAAGAAACTCACTCCTGCCCCCGACACCCTTGTCGTTTTACACCCGCTGCCTTTCACTTCTCTTTTTCTGTGAATATTAATGATGTCTTTTAATGTGTTTCTGATCCGCTGCTGTGTCGAGCGTTCATTCCGTCTCTTGCATTTGTGTTTTAATCTCATCTGGTTACATGTAGCGCTCTTACATGCATCTAGAAACGTGTGACTAGTTGTTTACGTCTGTAATGATCAGAATGCGTGGGATTCTGTGTAATTGCAGGTTATTTATCTTGCACTGTTATGTAAACCGTGTTTGACCGGCAGGGGTTTTCAAACCGGGAGTGTTAGCGGGTCAGTGGAAACGTGAAAATACATCAAATATGAAAAAATCTGGTTAAATTAAATAAATATAAGTAATCTGAATGAATTAAAAATATGATTGAAATAAAATGATTTAAAAATAAATAATTTGATTAAAGTAAAAATATTTTTTTACATTTTATTATTTATTTTTTTGTTTAAAAATCATTTGTATAAAACAAAAATGTGATTAAAATAAATGTATTTTTTTTAATGAATAAAATGACATTTTGATGAAAAATAAATGGATATAAAAAAATAAATAATTTGGATAAAATAAAAATTTGATTCAAATAAATTGATTTAAAAATAAATAATCTGAATAAAAAAGTTGATTACAATAAATTGATTTTAAAATAATCAATTTGAAAAAAAAAGTTAATTAAAATAAATCGGTTTAAAACCATTTTTAATAACATTTTTTAAATTGGAGTAAAAATTAATAATTTGAATGAAATAAAAAGTTGATTAAAATAAACTGAATTTAAAAATGTGATTTAAATAAATCTAATAATGCAGTATTCTAGTGAGCAAAGAATAATGTATTATTAAAAAAATAATTAAAAAATCGTTTTAAAAATAAATAGGTATTAAGGACTAAAATTAATTTGTTTAAAAGAAAATCACTTCAAATTTAAAAGTTGATAAAAAAATTATTTTACTCAAATAAGCATTTTTTATAATAGTTTTTCACAATATGAATGTATTTTTACTGCTGCCTTTTAAATGTGTAATCACGGGCCCCTTGCACCAGGATGATCATATTTGGGGGTCCGTGGCACGTGACAGATTGAAGACCCCTGAGTTTGTTTGATGAATCATGTAAGATTATAAGATTGAAGAAGATCCAGATGTGAGTCTCAGGGATGCACAGATGTTCTGAACATCAGCTGTTTCAAACGAACTATGTAGCTATTAAAATGTGTTATTTGTATGTCATTAACAGAAAAGTACTGTAGTATTACCATCAAAGTACTTTTAATGAGTTGAGAGTGTGTGTGTGTGTTATTATGAGTAGTTTTGGGTAACTTGTCGTTGTTTTACTGTAAGAGGTCCGCTATGCAGCGCTTGGAAGTGCAAATAAAGCCGTTTGAAGGTCAGGCTGATCCCGGATCAGTGTCTCCGCTTCACTCTGATTCCCGCCGCAGCGGCGAAGCGCGCCGAGCTGACCCCAGATCAGCGGGGGGCGGGGCGCAGCGCGGTGACGTCACGCGGCGTGCGCCGCTGATGGTGAACTCTGAACGCGAGAGAGACAGTCGTGCAAAAGCGCGTTGAATTTTCACTCGATCCGGATCAAAACGCGATAAATGAAGCGAGACAGCCGTCAGTGTGCTCGTGTTTAACCACAATACGAGCGGAGCGATGGTTAACCGAGAGTTTGTGTGGTAAACAACTGCTCAGCACTGACAGTAAACAGGTAGTTTGGATAAATCACTAAATTAAGTCGTTTAACCAGTGTAAAATCTGAGGTAATATGTGAATAATATCAGAATAAGTGTGAGTGCTCGGTGCGTGACGGTTAAAGTCGGTTTGCTCGCTGAAGCTCAAAGTTCATGTTGTGTTAGTTTGTTAAGGTAAGTTAGCTTAGCTTCAACTAGCAGCTTCACACGACCAACTAAACCTTCTTCATCTGGAGATTTCCATCACAAACGCCTTCAGGACGCGATAACTTGTGTTTTAACGCATAATGTGTCAGTTATTCAGTTTACGTTAACCGGGCGGGAATACCGTGTTTTTAACTGTACTGTGGTAATATCATGGTGTTTGGACTTTTACCGTGTTAGTAACATGATATTCTGTCGAGTGCCATGTAAATATCATAGTATTTGAATATGGTAAGTGTGTGTGTGTGT